TAGTTGAGTGGGTAGGTGTTTTCTTCTTGTAGTCAGAATTTTGCTCCTGGACATAGAAGATGTGAAGGTACTTTTGCAGCTCAGCTGTTGGGTCAGCGGGGTATGTTCTGGTTCCACTCACCTGTACACAATCTTATGGTCATGAAGGAACTGCAGTCCAAGAACCACGCAGGCAGCATAAAACCTGAGGTTAAACCAAAGAAACACTATTAAACAGCAGCACTAACAAAACAGCACTAACTTTGCTCTCAGGCCACGAGCGACCAAAACCAAAACTACTGTCCGAGGGCTGACAACCAGCTGCTCGCCAGCTGCTGCCTGAACTGATACTGCTCTAAAAAAAGGGATGCTGGTGTTACAGCTGAGGGGCACTGCTTGTGTGGATGTAGAACAAAAGATGACACACAACATAAAAACAATTGCTACTATAGTTATCATACAATAGTTAGGTTTTCAGTTTAATGCCCTGCAGTCAAAAACAATACTTTTAATTATCTGAGTCAGTTGCAATTGATATTTTCCGCAACCTTTCCTGTCAGACGCCCCCCTCAAATTTTCTAGAGTTCATCTCTGTTTTGAAACATTTTCAGGGTGTTAGGGGTTTAAGAATTCATTTTTCAACAATCAGGACTTAACAGACTTTTGTTCAAGCCTGAATTTGTGGAATATGCAAACAAATAGTAATATATAAAATAAAAATAATAAAATAATACAAACAAGCCTCAAATTTTTAAGTGAGTTACGTACACAGCTCTTGGCTCTGTGAAGACGTCTGTGTGGATGTGCATCATCAGGTCTCCTCCTGCTGTGTACTCCATAACAAAACACACGTGTTCTGCTGTCTGGAAACACGCAAACAGGTTGACCAGGAAGGGATGGTGCGACATGTTCACGATCTCAAAGATGCGCTTCTCGCACATCAGACTAGGGGAAGGAAAAGTAAAAAGGTGGAAAGGAGTTGATCAGCAGAGAAAAGAGGAAAAAGGGGAAGAGAGGAAATGAAGAGAGGAGAGGAAAAGAGCAGAAAGAAAAATTAGACACATTTATATATAATTAGATGGTATTTACTGTGGTCGATGACACACCCACACTCAGCCCACAGATGAACTGTAATCATGGTGATTCAAGACACAGCAACACAGATTAATGCAGTGAACTACAGAGGAGGAGAAATGCAGGGAGGATCCAGGCTGAAAAACAGCAACCAAACACACCCAAACACAGGACCACAAAAACACACCTCTCCACCTCATCCCGAGCCATGATATCTCCCTTCTTCAGAGCTTTGATGGCATACATCGTGCCGGTTTTCTTGTACTCTGACAACAACACCTAGAGGCAGACAAACACGAGCAGCAAAAAGTGACTTTGTTTTTCTCTTTTAAAATGTACAAAATCCGTAAAGTACAAACTGAAAATGTGTAGATATACAACTTATCAAGACGTTTTAAAAAGGTCAGATTTAGATGCATTAAACCAAACATTTTCTGGTAATGAGATAATTATTATGTCCCTTTCAGTCCAAAGCTTTTCGTGACAATAGCTGAAGACATTTGTTCCCACATTGAGCAGCTTTCTTCTTTGTCTTAATGCTGACCTGTCTTTTTGATTCCAAGTTAAAAGGTCTCATTGATAAAGAAAAAAAAAGCTCTACTAAGAAACTGTACCTTCCCAAAGTGTCCCCTGCCCAATACAGCGATCAGCCTGAAGTCCTGCAGGGACAGAGGACCTTTTCTCTGCTTACTGGACAGATGGACACACATTCAAAATTATTTTACAGTGGATAATAAAATACAAAAAAACTGACATTGACACATATCGATTGCTCTTAATTCATGTCAGCATCAATTGTCATGTGAGACACTGGGTCAAGTGTTCTGTGCTCAAAGTATTTAAATATAACATCTGAGACAAATAGATAGAACTGGTCATTGCATAAAAAGGTGGAAATAAAAACATTATCTGTCTTAATAAGCCCTGACAGTATGACAGAGATCACATATGACTAATCTCTGGATCCTGAAACTGGAGCAGCCAAGAGGTTATTCATTATTTTCTTACTATGACACGTCCAAATGTGAATCTTAAACAGTCAAGAACAGACAAACATACTATATACAGAAAATATCAGACTAAACCTGTGTTGAACATATTTATATATATATACACACAAACACACATATAAACATACACGCTCTATATATACACACATATATATATATATATATATATATTAAAAAACTGCATATGAACACATTGTGACTGTGTGCAAGTGTGTACCTGCTAACAGGTGGGGTTTGGACAGGGCACTCAGGGGTGAGGTCTGGGGGGGAGAAGGGCTCAATGACTGGAAGCCGGTCCTGGTGGGAGACATGCAAGGAAAGAGACAAACGAAAAAAGATGCAGAGACACAGAGACGGAAAGAGGAGAGGACACAAGACGGAAGACGAAAGACATGGTTTTACAACAGCTTGGATGTGACATACCGTACAAACAGCACGTTCACTGATTCACACTCTGCTCTGCACTTAAAACCTGACAGTTTCTGGAGACACTGTGGTCAAGAATCAAGACAATCACACTGGGTGTTCTGTCATACATGTGTCTAGAGAAGAGATGTTATGATTACATTACATGACGCTTTTTATCCAAAGCGACTTACAGTTAGTGCATCCAACATCTATGAGGGGCCATTTTTGGTGGGGTTTAGCATCTTGCCCAAGGAGCATGGGCTGGGATTCAAGCTGCTGATCTACTGGTTGGAGGACAAGTGCTCCACCCCCTCAGCCACAGCCGCCCCACAAACCTGCTGTCATATTAACTAAATGTATGTAATGATCAAGACCCTTTTTAGTTTGGGCTTTCTGGGTTCACTGGGCTTACAGAGCAAAATAAAATAAATGGATAGATATATCTAAAACAGCAGTTTTTTATATATTGATAATATAACTAATACATATTAATATAACCAATAATATATTTATTTATTTAACAGTTTTATTTCTGTATGCTCTTCATGGGGCCTACCTGAAAATATTTGTCTGGTTAATTTGTAATATTGACGACTTCTTTAAAATTTGTACAAACAGAAATCTGAACTACATTTGTTTAACCTTAAAATAAAGTCCAATCTTAAACTGAATTGTTAATAAAAACCCATTTTTTTACATTTTTTAATTATGGATTAATATGTTCAACACAGATCAAATGGGTAAAACAAACAGTTACTCTTTTCTCAATGTATGGATCAAGACCTTTTTAATTTCATTTTTCAATAGATGGATTTTCTTTGTCCCGTACTGACCACAGTGGCTTTACTACAGTAGACCCAACCCCTCAAACACACCTCCCCCATTTCCTGGGCGTCCTCTGTCTCTGTCTGTCTCACCGGAGTGTGTGTGTCCGTGTCTCTCTTGTAATCGCCTCTTATCGGAGAGTCGCTGTCCAGACTCAACTTCTCCACAGAGATCTCCCTGAAAAATTCACACAGAGATACACACATGCACGAACAGGCCAACACAGCGAAGCAGACGGACAGATGAACAGACAAGAACAGAACACAGAGGGGTTGTTAGACACGGGGCAGAGAAAGCATCACATGCTTTATTCTCTGCCAGGAAACACAAGGAATAAGGTTCAAGGAATGCTGCAGCTGTTTGATAGCAAAGTCTCGCTGACAGCTATCAAACGTCACATGTAGATGATGAATGAGAGTGTGTTTGAGTGAGTGTGTGTGTGAACACCTCTGTGGCTTAGGCACGATTTACTGGTGTATCTCACCCGGAGTTAAGTGTTAGACTGTGCGCGTTGGGACTGTAGGTTCCTGAGTTGTTGACAGTGGGAATGGCATTTCGCAGCAGCCTCACCCATGTCCCGATATCCACATTCATTTGGCGAGCCCGAAGGAATGCCTTGCCTGGAAATGCACGCACGCACACACACACATGCACACACACACACACACACACAACACACACACAACAGATACCATCAATATATTATATTATTCATGAGTTTCTCTCATTGTTTATTACCTCTGCCAAGAAGGTAATATTGGTCACTGGAAATAAAATGAGAGGTTTTCCGAAACTAGTTTTTGCTTCATGCCTGCTTTTAAATATATTTCTTGTTTGAGTGAGGTACTTTATAACTGTGTTTCGACAAATGCTGCATGAATAATCATGAAGACACAATGTCAGTCACCACTAGAGGGTGCTGTGGTCTAAATGAGAATACAGTGGACGGCAGCGTGCTTTGCTTCTGGCCATGAAGATAGAACCTGTTTGGACACAACTTATTTGCACTAAATGTTTCTATGTATGAATTTTTCAGAGCAGAAAAATAACTTGTGAAAACGCTGAAATTTCTCAATTCAGATTATCTGTCTTTGTCTCCTGTCTGCTATGCCTCGTCCTCACCTTGCTGCTTAGAAAATATTTTCTTCTGCCTCTGGAGACGAGGAACTCTCTCAATTACTGGGTTAAAGAAGGTCACCTGGAAAAAAACGCACACACACGCACGCACGCACACACACACACACAAACATGAAACATGGAAAATACACAGCAGCCAGGTATCACACTTAGATGGTTGTACCTTTGAAGTATGCTATATCAAAGCGGTGTTGCACAGGTGCATCTGACAGCCTGTGTGTGTGTGTGTGTGTGTGGGTAGGTGTATATGCGCACATTTGAATATCTTTGGATATATTTAGAGCACTTTCATAGATAGGTGTCATGTATGCAGGGACATCTGAGTGTGTACCTCAGCCAGCAGCAGGCCGTGAGGCTCCAGCTCCAGCTGAACTCTGTGTTTCTGGTTGTCCAGGAACTCCTCCAGCTTCAGGTACTTCAAAGCGCACAGCGAGCGATAATCCTTCCAGTAAACTGCAATCTCCATCTCTCGTGTCTGAAACATACACAGACACACGACAGTGGTCAACAGGTACATGCAAACAGACACATGGAAAGAGCAGTTTTACTTTATTGAAAGGACACTTGCATGCACTCTACTAGTTTATGTGTATATCTACTAACCCTTTCCAGCTCCACAGTAAAAGTCTGGTCCCAAGCCTGTTCTCCCACAGTCCTCCAGGATGTCTGGCCGACCACTGTGTTATCCAGCTTCAGCACAGCACTCACCTCAGCTGCACACACACATACATACACACTTATTTCCTCCATAGGCAACATTCCTTTACCAGTATAGAAATGAAAGCTACAGCTTACTCAATAATACATAATACAATTTTAGTATTGATTAATGAGTGTCATTAATTTCTCTGGAGAAACCACAGGAAGTGCAAGATGATAACAACATGGTTTGTGAATTGCCAACTCAGGACATTGAGGTAATCCAGAAAAATTTGCTGATGCTGCTGTGCCCTGATGTGTGAGTGCTGAACTACAGCGGCCAACCTCAGCAACCTAAAGCACATACTGGCTCAGCCACAACGTACATCTACATTTAACGTAGTTACTAGGGATTGGTAATGTTGCTATACTGCACTGAAAAAGACACTGATAGTACAGGAAATATATCTAGATTTAAATCAATGAATTAAGTTTCTAGAGAGGTGCAATGTTAAGTTAAATCAAAAGAGCCTATTTATTTTTAAAGCTGTTGAAGTGAATGTCCCTCAGATGGAAAAACACTTACATGAGAGCTCATCTGTCTTGCTGGGCGTCTTCCCACTGACTGAGCCGCTTCGTCCATAGAGTCCTTTGCTACCCCTCATGAAAGACCTTGTGTCTCCAGGGCTGTGACAGGGCAGCATGACAGCCGTCCCTTTATTGCGACCTGGGACCACCTCCAACAACCCCACACAGCCCAGCAGCTGCACCTGCAGGGTACCTGGAGGCAGAAGAAAACTACTCAGGTGCAACCAACTATGGAACAAAACACCAGCAGACCATAAATGAAAAGAAGAATTTCATTCAGAATTTGTCAAGACACATTGATAAAGTGTACATGAACAGAATTTAGAAAGAATCAGCCTGAAAATCAATGACCAGCCATTACGAACCTGTCATACATTAATATATGGGCTCCCATCACATACATGGGTTATAATGCTCATTTTTACTGAACTATAAGGTATAATAAACATACAGACCCTGTACCATGGTGAAAATATTAATCAAATTTCTCATGCTAGACTAAAAACAAGTATGAAATTAAATTTTATACATCTACACACGGAGTGTTAACAGGCTGCTTTGTAAATATGAAAATGAATGAAAACGAAAAATGAATCAAACATCCTACAAATTCTCTTTGATACATTCTGTGCACATAGGCAGTTTAAACCATGGCATGTGAATGCAGTATTTCAGGTTTCAGGTCTGATATGTTTGCCAATAGGATTTAGGGATGTTACTGTGATAATACAAATGTTTTAAGGTTTTGCGATTGTTTTTTTCCAGTGTTTAAGTCAGTATGTATGTACTATTATACCCCTGTTGGGTAAGCTTGCTTGAATTCGGCCCGTATAGCTTTGTTTTGTGTAACATACCAGTGAGGGGTGAGGGTTTGTTGAGGGTGCTGTACTGGTTGTGCAGGTAGGGGGCACCGTGGCGGGAACTGAAGGCAGGGGAGGAGGCCAGGACCAGCTCCTCTTTGATGATGTTGGCCTTGGGGTGGTCCTCTGGCAGCTCCGCCAGACGCTGGTCCAGAGAGTCTCTCAGCAGGTCCAACCGCTGAGACGCCTCGCTCAGGCGAGACTGCGCCTGCAAAGCATCAACACAGTGCTGGTGTGACGCACCTTTACATCCACTGAGTGATGGCTTAAATAGTTCGATGGACCCTCAATTAACTATCAACTCTTTATCCAATCCCACACAATCTATCCCGACTTTCATTAGTCACATTTCACAACAGTAAACAACCACTTCAATATTTGCATTGCATTAAATTATTAGTTTCTAAAACATAAGCCAAAACCTCAAGACTGAAAACTGGGTGTAACAGGTTTTGGTTTGAAAACACTTGAGACTTATTGGTGAGTTTTAATGACCAGAAATCACAAAGAACTGGTGCGTTACTGGTACTGATCAACAACCTTTTGATCACAAACACAGATACACATACTTAGAGTGAGATTGTGCAGCAGCCGAATCTGCTTTGTGAAATATCTAATATATAAAATCGAATCGATCTCAGCCAGACACCATATCATGTCATAATTGTGTAATATTTGTGTTTAGTACAAAACACATTCAAGGGGAAGAGTTGAGACAAGCAATCAACACCAAAGACTAGAATTAATAACTTGTGGTTGTTTGCTCTGCCAACCAAGTTCCAGTTTACAATCATGTCCATCCAGACTAATGTAATATATGTAAGACTTACCTCAGACAGGGCTTTCTTGTCCTGAACCTTGCTGGCCCCCAGAAGCCTGAGCACATTTTTGGCCCCCTCAGCGACAGCGTGTTCCACCCTGTAGTGATGCCTCAACTCTTCAATGCGCAGCTCCACCCCGCACATGTCCTGGTTACCTGCAACATGGAGTGGACAAATACCATTATTACGGTGGACGCAAGATATTGTACAATGCAGATTGCAAAAGACTCACTGTTTCATGTCTGGATCTTTTTATCAGTTATGTTCTATAGTAAAATTTTGAAATTCAAGTTGTTTGTTTTGGCAGCAGTGTGTTATAGGGCACACTAAGGTAGGTTAATGCCTTAATGCATGTCTTGCATTACACAAGAGTCAGACAGAGAAAACATTAGCAGTGCCTAGAGGGAGGTAAACAGCCTCTGATATCTCTTCAGTAAGCAGCATTTACTTTAGCTCCAGCCTGTTTCTTAATGGTTTTTTCCTCTTAACTTGAAAATAAAACAGAGAAATAAAACTATCAAACTCGCTTGTGAATTTCTATTTTTATAACTCTTATTATGAAACATATGATCTTGATATCACAGTTAATGCAATATATAAATAACAAACTTATCATATACTGGAAACAAAAGGGGCTAAAATTTAAGAAAGGTTCATTGTTTGAGATTATACATATTTTCATATCTTCAGTGATTTTCCACTGTAGTGAGCATTTGTGACAATTTTAAAAGGATTCTCTCGAGGCCTAAAAATTCTAATCGTGTCATTGTTGAGTCCAAGTTAATGTTTTTGCCAAATGTAATGAAATTCTCTATGGGTGTTCCTGATATATCATGTTCATAAGAGCATAAGGTCACCATGAATGTGACCTTTGACAACCAAAATCTAATCATTTCATCCTTGAGTCCAACTGTTTTTATCAAATTTAAATGAATTCCCTTAAGATGTTCCTGAGATATCATGTTCACAAGAGTGGAACGGATGGACAGACAGACAACCTTTGGCCACTGGCTGTCTCCGACATGGAGGCATTAAAATAAACACACAAACAATAAAAACCTCAAAGTTCCTCAGAAAGTTCCAAAGTTCCTCAGACATGGGGTCAGCCTCAAAGTTGCACCATCAAAGCAAAATAACAGCTAAGTAGTGAACCTAATGGTACGGCAGCCTCTCACAGTGGTTAAAAAACACAATGGAGCACACACAGACAAGAGGAGGAGGCCTGAGATGAGGTTCAGGACAATATGATAAATAAGATTGGAAAAGGTGCATCTGACTTTCAAATGACTGGGTTAGTGAGGAAGAAGGACAGAAGGACACCGAGGAGTGATTCAAATGACTTTTATGAGTTATGAGCTGTTCAGAGCGCTGCATGAGACAGGAGGAGAAGAAGAAAGGAAAAGAGAGGGGGGTAGGGGGGAGATGGATATGGATGCTTTTATCTCCTAATAAGGTGTTCTGCCTGGAGCCCAGACCCTGCTAGATGACCCCTCCAGCGGGTGTGGTGCCTGGAGACTGTCTGTCTGTGTACACTATACACACAACCCGGTGTGTGTGTGTGTGTGTAGTTTAAAGGAGAGAGTGAATAATCAAGAAAAATCAAGAGACTGTGTAGGACACTGGCACAACATTAGAATTAAAGTACTGAAGGTAAAAGTTATGTTGAAGCTATCATTACAAACAATAACGTACCTATTGAGTAAGTGCAGTAATGCACATAATGTATGATTTATGTTAAGATTTTTAAGACCTAATCTATTATAAGAGCACTCCACTTGCTAGAACATCACCAAATAAAAAACAATCAAAACTGATAATGCACAACTAGAGAGACATTCTCTCTTTTTATTCTACATATCCTTCTTTCTTTTCAAAACCTGGCACCTAACACACCTACATCGTTACTCGCAATGCAGGTCATAGTTTTCAGCCCTAACCGATGCTAATTCGAGTGACAGCGCCAGAGGCTTTTAATCAGATTTCACGCAGCTTCCTCTGGAGTCACAAGTTGTAGTACTTCCCAAGAATACGAAACAATTGCTGCTCTCAATGGTCATTTACATCCATACTATTTTTATCAGGTTACACAGACAGATACAGTATGGCCTTAAAAGGCCCTAAAATAACCCTTCCAAAATAGCCATTATCTTCTTGGCCTTAAAAGACACCCACTTTCCTCACAGCCATCAGCTCCGTCAGTCTGACATTAGCAGTATGGTCCCAAAGGGAACACACAATCTTTAAAATCTGTGTTTTACTTCTACCCTCTCCCACTGGTCCCTCCCTGCTGCAGCTTTCTTCACCGCCAGAGGGGCCATACTGCTGCACAGCCCTACAGAGACTCATTCACCTGTTCTGAAATGACAATGGAGGAAGAACTGAAACTCACACGTTTGCTTGATTGGGTATTTCACCAGTTTAAGAATAAAATAGTCAAATAATCATATAACTGTGCGTTTTGCATATTGTGTTCAATTATATCAAAACTGCAACATCCACAAGATCCCAATCTGCTGCAATGTTGCTGCTTTACTTCTACAAACAGCACAATACTACTGTGTGTGTGTGTGTCAAAGAGAATATTCAGCATCTGGTCTCTTTGTTGAAAGACCGTTTTTATTTATTTATCTATTTTATTCTACATACGTGTGTGGATTTGACTAATGGTGGTGACACGCCAGGTGACCGTTTCACAGGCCTTTAATAACACACACACACACATATTTGCCCATCTCAACAACACACACACACACGTGCACATACACACAGAGACACTTATCTCGAAACAATCATCTTCTTCCCAACAACAACCATGCTGGGAAAACAGTGAGACAGCACTTTAATTGATCTGTTTCTGTTATTGTGTGCCTGTGAATTTTGGAGCCACTGCTCAGAACAAAATGTTTGACATGCAGAGACAAAGAACGCAAGACTGCAGACTCCACAAGGACATGAACACGACCCAGTGAGGAGCATCCTGTCAGTGCCAGCTGCCCGTTCTCATAAACCACACAGGAAAACTTTGCACTTTTACATGTCTTCTATCTCAGGAAGCGTCTGAGACTTACAGCTGAGCTCACTTGACATTGACAGGTCAACAAAAAATCTTCAGTCAAGGAATAAATCCAGCATGTTTGTCTAGCGTGTCTCGAGTGTTTTGTAGATATGTCACTTTGTCTGTTCCATGAATTATATTCAGTATAAATATACAGTATTATGATATTATGCAGGTATATTTTTCCAATGAGACTGTACTTGTACTTAAACTTAAATTTCAAGATTGTAGTGATTTCCCATTGCAACCACAGATTAAAACAAAATATTTGAATGTTGAATCAAACATTTACCAGCCACCATGTGAATAACACAACATGGCATTGACTTGTTGTGCAACACTATGGTCACAAGTGTGTTCAGCTATACTGGTACAACATTATAACCTAAGTGTCAGCAATACTTTGTATTACTCATTTATCCAGTCACTCAAACTTACTCTGTGTGTCGTCATTGTGCTCGGTGGCCTGCACAGCCTTGCGGATTTGCATGCGGATGATGTCGATTTTGGTCTTACTGTCCTGTAGCATCTGCTGGGCCGTCTGCAACATCTTCTTATCCTGATTAAAACAGGAACAAAACCATGAGCAAATCATATGGAATTCAGGTGGAAGCTAAAAAACAACCATAAAACTAGAAATATGTGTTTGAATGACGGAGCAATAATGTTGTCACTTTGTCTTAGCAAGGTGAAGTGAAACAGACGCTGCGTAAACAAGGGGGAGGGGACATTTGAAGTAGCCAAGGGATAAGGTGCGCACAGGGGGAAGGGGGTCCGATGTACCAGAGGATGTTTGCATAGAGATAAACATCTGAGTTAACAAATTGAAAGGTTGTGGATCATGACTATATACTACTTAACATACACTGGCAGTTAACAGCCATGTGTATATTGTAGGTGTGTGTATGGACTGAGCCTGTGTCCTGTACCTTGGTGGATCCATTGGCGTAGATGGGGATCATGTTCTCGACCCCCTGTTTGACTTTGAGCTCAATGTTGAGCTGTCTCTCCAGGGCAGCAATGCGCTCCTTGTGGGCTGACGTTCGGCTCTCTGCCCCGGGAGACTGAGGGCACTCATCTGTGGAAGGAAGGAAACGTTTGGTGATGATATAAAAAGAAACAAGACGAGGGTTCACACACATGGGCTGCAAAACTTAAAATGCTCTTGAATTAATCTTATTTAATGTAAATTAATATTGTTTCATTCCAGGTTAATATCCTGGAATATGACTCATTGTCATGGTTGTCTGTGTGATTAGAGAGCTGCTGCAACACTGAACAACTAGACTGAAGCAATTCTTTGGCCTCTCCAAATGGTGTCCCACCCCGATGGAGCATGGAAAGTCATGAGTTCATTTTATTTTTCCACTAAGAGGCAGCCCAGATTCATCAAGGCTATGTTAGATCTAAATTCACTATGAGGATTTCAAAGTGTATATGGTTTTTAAGGACACAACTGTAAATGATCTACCATGAATTATGTTCAGCATTATTAAGACTTCGTGTCTTCAGGTTCAGAAAGTGTCATTTAGTTGAAACCATAGAAAAAAGCCTTCAAAGTACAACATATAATTGGATTAATACACATGAAATATCATTTATATATATCAAATAAAGTAGAAGCCCAAAGAACTCCTTGGCCAAAAGGAAAAACTTGAGGCCACCCACACTCAACGTTCAGAGGGGGAACATTATCCATTTATATAAAGGGCTTGCATTCTTTCAGATATTTGGGAATAAATCTAGTCAAAAGCAGATTTCTGGAATCCAAGAATAGTTTTTTAGAAATTAAACCAAATAAAAAAAACTATGCACCACAAATTTTCCTGAATCAAATTGTTCTATCCATTGATCTGTCACTTCGATGAGGCCAGTCCCTACTGAATGGTCATTGTGATATGTGATCAACTGACTGACATTAAACCAATAGTTTTCATATACAACCAAATCTGTTTACTTGTAGGTTTTTTGTTAAATGTGGGAATAAGACAAGTTCACTGTGAGGTGTTTTTTGCGATGAAGCTTAGCTTCATACTGAATTCAAGTGAAATTCCCCTTTCAATCTACCAATTATACAAATAGCTAAAGGGGCAGCAATCTGAGGAGCAGCACACCTCAATTAAATACATTGCAACCTGTAGCTTTACTAACAAGAATTGATTCTAACCAGTTGTGATTTTGTGTGTTAATGTGAAACATCTTTGGTTCTACCGGACACAAGGTAACAAAAGGACATGTTAGAGGTGATGACATAAGTTTCTAAAACATACCTTTATTCTCCTCTCCTCCCTTCACCACAATGTGGGCATCCAGTTCCTGCAGCTGAGCATGCAGATTGTCCACCCTGCGGTTTGAAGACCGTAACTGACTGTCCACCTGCAATAAAAATGTTTTACTTCTTCTTAGTGAGATTTAAATAATACGAGTGCGTCTTATTTTCATAGTAAAGCACCAACCAGAACCAGTTCTACAAAAACGCAATAATAACCGTAGCTTAATCCTGCTAACAAACACACAAACCAACCAACCAATCAACAGGGGTGAAAACAAACCTCCTTGGTGGATGTAATTAGACAGATCCCAACAGTCTGGATTTGTGGGGGCTGATATCAAATCCTTACGATAAATAAATGTAATTGAGGCTTGAATTCATTATAAATAATAACTATAAACAAAGAGAAACACAAACACAACCAAATATATAGAATTTCAATTCTATATATTCAAACAAATTCAAGCAGAGTTTATCTTACTGTGTTAATTCACTTCAAATCAAACATGTTTAATGACAGCTGAGTGAACTATTGTGCTCAAAGTTTGGACAATCTCTACTTTAAAAAGTTTTAAGCAAACACATCTTCAGAGTGTCTGGGTCAAGCTTTTTATGATAAAAAATATGCCACTAGAATGATCACAACATGCATCATAAATTCCCAGTGTACTGTGGTTTAAATCTAGATTCCAGACTGCAGCATTCAGGAAATGCTTTTTATAGGCAATTGAAAAATCAGAAATTCCTCCCTTAATACCTATAATTGCCTATTAGTCAAGCATTTAATGCTCCAAGTGCTTGAGTGGTGCTGCTCACTTGTAGCAACAGACAGAGGCTGATTCTGCTGCTGCCCAGCAGTTGTACTGGTGTGTGTGTGATCATGAGGCAGAGCGCTTTGGGAATATCCCGGCCTCATAATGTGGAGATTTATGCTCAGTGAGCCTAATCGAAATATTTTGTCATCTGCAGATTTAAGATACCATTCAGAAAGTCCCAACTTTCTGTAGAGACAAACCAGATAATAATTTAACAGGGCAGCATCTGATTCACCAGATCAAAATAATAATAAAGACAAAAACTATTTGGAACATTCTCATACATTCTGGTTGATTGTCTTTTTGACAAATCCCTTTTTCTCATGATACAGAAAACAGCTTCATATTTTGGTCCCATATTGAAAAGAAAAAAAAGGAGGCTGTCGGCTGACCTGCTGAGCATTCCTCTTGTCAGTTGTTGCCCTGCGCAGGTTCTCAGCTCCTTCCTTGATCTTCAGTTCCTTGCGTATCTCCCTGCGGATCCTTTCGCGCTGCTCGTCCAGTAGTTGCTGCACACTGGAGTCTGAGAAGTCTGAGTTCTGGTCCAGACCTAGCTGCTCCAGAACCGACAGCCCACCAGGGTCACTCTAGAGGGGTGGGTAGAGAAGGAAAGATGGAGGAACAGGGAACATGGGAAGAGAAGTTAAGTTAAAGTGAATATATTCAGAATAAAAAAAACAAAAACGATCAGTTCCAAAATGTTATCATCTGGAGATACCCTCCTAAGTAATATTCAAACACACACACACTTGGGTGAAAACAATGCCCTGCTTCCAGCTACACCGGGGTACAGGGTAATTAAAACCGTTGTCATAAAAATACAAAGCTTAATTTACATAAGTCAGCTTGGTAAGAGGTGGTGTTGACAGTGAGGCCGACACGAGAGGAAGATATGTTGAACAGGATAAGGATAGGTGGCAGAGGAAAAAGGGCAAAGTTGGGTTAAAAAAATGAAAGATAAAAAAGTGAAGCAAGATGATGAGAAAAGAAACACAACAGGAGCAGTCAGGAATGACAAAATCCTGTTCAGCCAGTGTTTATAATAATTCAAAACAAATCTGGAGCGTTGGAGCTTTATACAACAAGAATTGTTTAGAAATACTGAAGTTACCAATAGAGAAGCCATTTTCAAGGAAGTCTTCCTGCCCAACGGGATAGTACTCAATACTGTTCACCATTAAAGTGAAACAGAAATGTCCCATGACCTGCATCGTACATTGGCCTCTTCTCAGACATTTCTCATGATCCGGTTCTTCTCTACTGTGTGAAATGAACTTCTTAACTTGATAAAATACACAAATGGGCAGACCTCCTGCTGAAGTTTTCCAATAACTTGATAGAACTTTTCCCCACTGCCTACTAGAATCATAATGATGTGTGTTTGTCAAAACCACCTCTAGCAGAGTGATATCTGGAGACACACAATCAGGAACACAGCAGGATCCTGCTTTAATCACTAGAAATCACAGCGACACAGCCACTATTACAGGAACACACAAATCAAACAAACAACTCAATAACACTTCACCTCCGAGCTGTCCTCATCCTCTTCGTCGCCATGCCAACACATAGTTCACTCAGATTGTGTTCTCCCCCCAAAAAATGAGGAACAGAACAGAAATCTTTGGTTCGCTACCGAGCTCAGCCAAACAGTTAATGCCACACGAGAGCAGAACGGGTTTGGGGGGGCCATAAAAAAGAGATAAAGAGAGGGAGAGTTGAGTGAGGGAGGAGGGGGAACGCCTCCGAAAGAGGATATCCGTCCTAACACCAAGCTTCTCAGGCCTTTCCTGTTTCCTCTGCGATTTTGCTGCTGTCAGTGGAGGGGGAGCGACACAGACTCTCCACATCACACATTCTCCCTCTTCAATCATTCTCAGATCTGTGGCACTAAGCCTGTATGATACCAAGTCATCCTTGGCTGCTTGTGCTCAACAATTAATCAGATATGGTTTAAAGACAATTTGTGACAGATTTATTTTTCTGATTTGCACTCACTTGGGTTGGTGATAATATCTTGAGGGCGGAAACATGGGAAGGATGCGTTTCTAAGCATTGGATCAAAGCCAGAGAGTAACTGGGATGCATTCTGTTGCCCGCTTGACTTCTTGTTTCCTTTGAGCTCTACATTTACAAATCCCAGCGGTGATTCCCCTTCCCCTATAGAAAGACCGTTGGATTGAAATGTACCATCATGCTGAAAATACGATAACATCTCTATATAAGCAGCAGTGGGTGGATTTAGTGTCCTCATGCTCGCTTCAAACATCATCCCACAAACTGGTAGATGGGTTCAATTTAATGCCACTTTACACTCCATAATAACAATGATCTTACAGGTGTACAAGTCCCTTCTTACACAGTGAACAGGCTTTTTCTTTTTTATCATTAATCAAAGTTATCTAATGGTGGGATGCAACTAGGTACATTTACTTTGTTGTTGTACTAAAGTAAGTTTTTATTTGTCTTTACTTTATTCTGGAGTTATTCTCTAGTACTTTACAGTTTTAATCCACATATATCAGCAAATATCTACTTTATTCTCCACTACATTTTTACAAGGACTCTGTAGTGGACTGTAGTAAAAGCAAGTACTTCTTTACTTTTACTCAAATAGAAAGTTTAATGTGGTAATTGTACTTGAGTTCTTCCTCCACTGCAGGAATCACAAATGAGACAGAGGCTGAAAATCTGAATCAGAATCAGAAATATTTTATTAATCCCCGTAGGGAAATTCAAATAAGAATAGGAAAAGGAAACTATGACAGAAATGATGCTGCTTGGACAGAGGGCTTACACAACAAAAAAAGCTGGATGAAGTAAAAAGCTAACAGCTAGCCTTGTGCTACAGCACAGGCAGCTGATGGGGTGTAACTGGGCTAACGTCAGCTCCTCTGACGGCTGCACAAAAGAGGAAAAAGATGAAGGAGTGGTCTGTGACTCCATTAAAGACATAACATGACTGGCCACTCATGATGAAAGACCCTACAGACTCATTTGATGACTGGTTTTATTGTGTAGGAATAAAACAGGATATAGAACAGTTAAATGCATTAAACACTCGGCTAATTATACTGACACTGTTGTCACGGTCACAGCCAATTTTGGGAAAATAGTCCAAGTTGGTATTTTCTTCACTGCAGCATAATCTGGTCACACAAACAATTTGTAAATAATGTCTAATTTTACAAAGGTTTTGTGGTTTGTCCACATGACACTGACTCATGTCTCTAATCCTGAGATCCTCATAAAGTTTAGTTTGGCCAGTTCATTATCATAACTTTAAAGATAGTACGATGTGATACAATAAAGAAATAAGACACCTAGAATTTCAATTTAAAGGTAAAAATAAATTAATAATAATACTCAAAAAGTGTTGACAGTTTAGATAGATAGATAGAAGCAGTATGTCTTGCCTGTACAATAAACTTAACAAAAACAAATCTTCCTGGGTAGTTGGTTATTTTTCATCTTAACCTGACCAGGCTGTGACCTTTCTTTGATCCAGACTGACTGATGAGAAAAAGCTGACTGCAGCCAAGATGTCCCTCCCCATCTCTATGTGTGAGCATGTGACCTGAACCTGCCATTAAAAGAAACATCGAGGAATAAATTCTCTTCACAGCCTTCAGGATGTGTGGGAACAGGTCTGCTGTCACTTTGAAAAAAACATGTGGAATAAACATGTGAACTGCGGCAGATGTGGACAGATTGTGTCCTGACAGAGTTACTGTATGTAGTGCAGAAAGGCACTGGATGAGTTGTAAAACAAGTCAACTTAAGATCGACATCTTTTCAATTAACTGAGCTCAGTGTAAGAGAGGAGACTGATACAACACGCAGCCTCATCCTCTTATTGCTGACCCCGTGTAACACCACAAAAGCTAAAAAGAGGAGGGACTCATCCCACACAGCTTCTGAACTTGCCCTGGGAGGAGCATTGAGCAGCGGTGTCTAGGAAAGTAATGACGGGCTTATTCAATAGATAACAGCGCCCAGCAAGCCTAATTCAATCAGACTGTGTGAGCAGTGTAGAAGAGCCCAGGGCTGGACCGAGAATGACAAGACAGAACATGGGTAACATGCAGTTGTGTTTAAAGTGTGTGTGAGGACTCTGTGGAGATAATGCCTGTAGTGTTCCTGCTGAGTGATAATGACCCCTCAGGACAGAGACAGTGTCCACACACGAAGGTCACGGAAAAGCGTGGTTGTGCAAGCGTGCACGACACGGAAAAAAGAGATGTAATCGCACGAAACCTATTTCACTTTATAGTGAAGACATGTCTCTCTGGGAAGAAGGCCACAGAGCTCAGCCCTTTTCTGAGTGAGGCCTGTGTTATTGTAGAGGGTGTGTCCGGAACAGTCATTACAAAGTCTACTAGGTTGTGGCTGAATTTGATGTCGGGTGAAAATGCCATTATAACTTTTGCTTGCTGTCTGTTCTGGAAAGAGGAGGGACAGTAGAGCTTTGACTGTCAAAGCTAATGATAAAGGAGAAACAAAAACTAAGAGGAAGAAGAAAGAACCGGTGCTGGAACAAATCCACACTCAACAAAGGATGGAGAGATAGGTCGCTCTTTTAAAGCAAAAGATGACGGTGGAAAGAGGGCCGGCTTGTTTGAGGATCCAAAATAAGTGACCACTTTTAGTAGAAATGAAATGAAAAAAAGGTCAATTTTGGTGTCTATTCTATATGTGGGCCTTAATTCAAACTCAAACACGATAACCGCAGTTCTGTAAATACTAAACTTGGCAAACTTAATATTTATTTATTCAAAAAAAGTGGCAGGTGTATTGTGTCAGGTGCTTTATGGTAATAAAAAGAGGAAAATTGCTGCAGATATTTTTTCATCAACTCACCATGGCCCAGTAAGGCTGTGATAACTGAGAAACACAAGCCTCTTCACCTTTGTATTTAACAACTGACTTCAGGGTTTTAACCTAGTCTCTAAAAATTGGACTTTCAGTGGAAGGTCCATGTGCATGACACTACAGCAATGGTGGCAGCTCTGTGAGGCTGAGCTTACACTCAGGAATTACATACTTCAACACATCTTACTATAGCATGTTAGCATGCATACATTATTCAATTAGCAATGAATACAAACTACAGCTAAGGATGACGGGAGCATCAAAAGTAGTGTTGGAAACACAAATTTACAAAGAGGAAAAGTTATGGTATGATTGAAGATTTGATAATAAACCCTGAGGTGAACATAAATGTTGGTACCAAATTTCATAACAATCCATCTACTATTGGGGTCATAAGAATTCAGCATTGGTATGTAAATTTCATCTGATTACATTTAGTAGTAATAGAGACAAGACCAAAGTTGGTAGATTGAATGATTATCAAACCAAAATATTCATGTGTAGAGCCATGCAGCTGTCATGGCTAAAAACTGTATGAATGGTAAAACTATCACATCTCACTGGCAAACACAGTACAGTATGACAGAGGCATGAGTCTGCAAACTCTCATATTTTAAAGTAACTTGCACATCATTTCCTGTAAATGTCTTCCACTACCACATGGGCCACTTTGTATTAATTTGCTGAAAAGACAAACCTGCAAGGAAACACTGTTTCCTTTCCTCGTCAGACTGACTGACTGCATACATGGCAGAGAGAGGGAGCGAGGGTAACGGAGAGAGTGGACAAGGAGAGGGGGAAAAAAAACCAAACTAAACATTTACTGTTTCCTACAAAGGAAAGGTTGGTTTAACACTGGCCTTCATGTGTAAGGAAAATACTATGATACTGATTAAATGAATTCCCAGTACACATCGTACAATCATAAGCGAGAGGACCGTTTGCAATGGAGACTGGAAAGAAAATACACTGGCTGGAGCAAAAGCCAGTTTGTCCAGTCACGCTCATGAAAAAGAGAGAGGAGCCGAGAGGGAGACAGGGAGAGAGCGATAGACGAGGCAAACAAAGAAAGAGCTGCATGGGGACAGGAAGAGAGGGAGGAGAAAGACCAATGAGGCACAGCTGAGAGGGTCACAGGGTTGAAGCAGACAGCAGAGAAATAAGCAGGAAAAGAAAGAAGGAGATAGAAATGGGGCAGAGAACAGCGGTGAATCAGCAACTGTGCCACTTGTTCAAACTACATCACAAACAGGACAGAGACGAATTAAATGACCATGTCCTTAATATATTCAGACCAATAATATCGCAACATTAACAAGATATTCAATTGACTATCATATTAGACAAAGTACAGCATCAAATCCTTGTATTTGTGAAGCTGGGTCCATCAAATCTTCTGCATTGTTGCTTAGGAAATGACAACAATTATTAATTCTCTCAATCAATATTAAACAAGTCAATCAACTTCATCAGCTCATCGCTTCAGCCTCACATGATACACAAGTAAGAGGAGACAAGAAAATGAAAGAATCATGACAGGGAGACCTGACCCTCTGCAAACACACTTGTGAGAATGAGGGCAGAGACAGCTAGTGTTTGACATTTAACCCCTTCAGCTGTGTTAACCACCTCCAGGCTCCCCCTCCCTCACTGCATCCTATTCTTCCCAACATCTCCCTCTCTGTTCATCACTCCACCTTCTGCCTAAGCCCTGCTTTATTTATTTATTTT